TCTTTCTTGATTAATACACACACACACACACGCACACACACACACGCACACCTCGCTTTCCCCCCTCGCTCCCCCCCCCCCTCTTCCCCCCCAGGTCACCTTCCAAACCAGCCACGGCCAGCTGCTCGACCTGACCACCGCCCCCATCGGCAGTGTTGACCTGGCCAAGTACACGCAGGACAACTACCTGCGGATCGTGACGTACAAGACCGCCTACTACTCCTTCTACCTGCCGGTGGCGTGTGGGATGGTGCTGGCGGGGATTCAGGTGAGGCGGGTGGGGCCCGGGGGGGGGAGGGGGGAGGGGGGCGGAAGGGGGAAAGTGGATATAGGGGTGGTGGGGTGGGGGTGGTAATGCTGGAAGGGGCAGGAGTCATATGATGATGGTGGTGGGGGTGGTGGGATGCGATTAGTAAAGGAAAATGAAATGTGCCGGTGTGAATGTCCCTGTGTGTATGTGTGTATGTATGTATGTATGTATGCTGCACTGTCGACGTGTCGAATCCAGAGGACTAAGTGCTCGCAGGAGACAGGAAAGCGACCCTGGTGCGACCCGCTATTGTTAATGCTACTGCTGCTGCTGCTACTGCTGCTGCTACTTATCACCCGCCCAGGACCCTGCCGCCTTCGACTTGGCTCAGAAGATTTGTGTAGAGATGGGCCAATATTTCCAGGTAGTGGGGGGTGGGGAGGGGTGTGTGGGGGAGGGGGGTTGGGTTTCAGGGCTGTAGGGCTGGCAGAGGCCAGGAGGGGCAGTGGAGGCTAGAGTAGTGGCCAGGGTTAGGGTTAGGGCGGGTTAGTGTCCGGGGTACGACACACTCCTCCCGGACCGCTCCGGAAGAAGCCCGGTACCCGCCGTCTTTTTATTCTTAGTATTTAAGATATCCTTTTTCGGTAGGACGTTTCTAGTTCCTAGTTTTGCTGCCCCCCCCTAGAGCCCACCAACCCGTCGCCGCGAATATCCCTCTCATCCATAGCCCTCCGTTGGACTTGTCCCGGACCGCTCCGGGGGGTGTCTTGTTTTGGAAATATCGGCCACACAGCCCATTTTTCCTTTAGTCCCCATACATACACACACACACACACCCTGTCGCCCCCGCCCCCCCCGCCCCCCCCGGGCCCCCCCCGGGCCCCCCCGTAGATCCAGGACGACTACCTCGACTGTTGCGGGGATCCGGAGGTGATTGGTAAGATTGGTACGGACATTGAGGACAACAAGTGCTCCTGGCTGGTGTGTACGGCACTGCAGGTAGCGTCGGACGAGCAAAAAGAGGTCATCAAGGTAAGTCGCGTGTGTGTGCGTGAGCGTGTGGCCTGTGGTTGCATGTATGTATGTATGTATGTATGTATGTATGTATGTATGTATGTATGTATGTATGTATGTATAGTGTGATGTGCGCATCAGCCAACAAAACCCCGCCCAGAGGGGCTTCCTTGGGCCGTCAGTGAACACCACCGGGCCTTCGTGGCTTGCCGGCCTGCATGCTTGCGGTCGTACATCTGGTAACATCCGTAACACCCTTCTTGAACCACCTGCATAGTGACCGCCCCCTCCCCCCCTCCCGCCTCCCCCCAATCGCCCCGTCAACCCTGCCCCCCAACCCCAACCCCAACCCCCCCGGGGCAACGTAAGGCCCACTACGGCCGCAAGGAGGCCGACAGTGTGGCCGCCATCAAGGCCCTGTACGGGGAGCTGGGGATGGAGCAGCGCTTCCGGGACTACGAGGCAGCGTCGTACGCCAAATTGGATGTGAGATGCTGTGTTGCTGTTGAGGGCTGTTGCTGTTCCCACATGGACGTGGCCGCCTCCTGCACCTCCGCTGAACCCTAAACCCCTGGACTAAACCAGCACGGCATACACATACAGACACACATACATTCATACATACGCAGACACGCATACATATACGCACGCAATGACAAATCAGACATATTCAGACATATTCAGACAGACAAACAAACAACCCCCAACGCTATCCACCTTCCTCTAGAACGTAGAGATCCCTGGGAGGTCCTCCCCCACCTCACCTCACCTCACCTCACCTCACCGGGGGGTTCGCGCTGGGCCCTCTCACTTGGAAGTCCCTTCTGCCACACTCGCACTCATACACACAAACACGCACACCGCAATCCCCCCGCGTCTAAGACGACGGCCCCCGGGCCCCCTCCTTCAGGCCATCATTTCGGAGCAAACCCTGTTGCCCAAAGAGGTGTTCTCCTCGTTGCTGGCCAAGATCTACAAGCGCAAAAAGTAGGAGAGGGGGGGACGGCAGCGAGCAGCGGAGGAGGGGGAGGTGGCGGCGGAGGGGGTGGAGACCAATGGCAGGGTGTCATGGTGGTGAATGAGCAGCTGAGGGCAAGGAAATAGTGGGGCCTAAGTATTTCGATTGGTGGCTTGAAGTCTGTCTGTCTGTCTCTCTGTGTCATCCGGTCGAGGAGAGGGGCTGTGTACTGCAGTTGGAGTGCTGCGCGAGGTGGGAGGAGTATTCGGTGATATGCGTGATGATGGAAGAGACACAGAAATAGAGTGGGAGGAGGGGAGGGGGGAGGGGGGAGGGAGTCGGAGGAAGAAGACAACGCAACGATGCAACAGGAACCTATGCACCCCGCAGCTACTGCGACTGCTACGGCTACTTCTCTACTGCTAGATCTCTCCAGGGTTTTAGTTTTTCCCGGGTCCTGATACCCCTAAAACCTGGCGTGATGTGGCGGTTTTTTAAGCTGGAGGAGTTCAACTGTGCGGTGGGCAGGTCATGTACCATCTTTTCGCCCCGTGAACCCGCAGCAGAAATAGGGACAGACTTACAGACATGCAGAGGGAGGACGGAGCAACACGTTGGTTATATTCGCGTGTGTATGTAGTTTGCGTGGGGTGGGGGTGGGGTGGCAGCGGCAGCAGAATTGGAGGGAGGGTGTGAATGACGGTGGTCCCACGATTTGGCGAGGGGGGTTTTGTTCTTCATTCCGTCCTGCATGCCTAAGTCGGTCTGTCAGCGCGTCTGTCTGTCTGTCTGTCTGTCTGTCTATCGGTGGTGGCAGTGGTGAGGGGCGTGACGGGCGAAGGCCGAACTCAACGGTGCGGGTCGTCATTTCATTTCACTTCGGCGGATGATGATGAAAGGGTTTTCCATATTTCTCTTCACACGTTCTCGCTCTTGCTCTCTCTTCTTCGTCTTCTCCTTCCTTTTCTTCGCGCGGGAGTGCGGGAGTTTGCGTGCGATTATACGATTTCTCGCAAGTTTTATGTGAATGTGGTGGCGTTGGCGGCTATGTGGTAATATGGTGATGACGCTGGTGACGCTGGTGACGCTGGTGACTTTCCAAAAGAGTTATAATATAAGAAAAAAGTTGGAGATAGCAGATATCTGTTGGATTGTGTTTTAGTCAGTTGGTTGATCAATCGGCGAGCTTTGACAAGAGAAAATGAAACTGTACGAGGTTAGGTGAGTGGTGCGGAAAAGGGATGTTCCGTTGGCCCCTGTCACGTTGAAATCAGCGGACATCATCTACACGACTTTTCCCGAGTCGGCCCGATCTTTATCACATCTACCCCACCAGACCACCAGAATCTGTAAAATACAATATACTTGTCGGCGGTTGGCGGCATACTGATGCACCACCTCGATGTGAGTCATGGATAATGTGTTTCACAAAAGGATGTTTATTATGCCTATTTTCATGAACTGGCTCGAATCTTGATCACTGTTGAAAGGGGCAAACACGTGTTCTTACAAAATTTCCTGGAAAAAAGCGTAAAACCCATAAAACCCTTATGCCATTTTAGAGTTTTTGTTTTTCATCATATCACAGGACCTCCATCCATATTGTTAGAACCATAATGTAATGTGGCAGTCAGTTTGGTGGCTGGATGAGCGTTTTCCCTAGCTGCGGCTGCTGTGCATGCACACCACAGAAGGTGGTGCTTGGGTGCTTTTTATGGTGCAACAAAGACACAGGGCATGCAGTTGGGAACAAGTGGAAGGGCGAGAATGAACGATTAATACGTATTATCATGTATTGCGGACAGATGCAGTGTGCTTTTGTACTCATTTTGCGGAACGTAGCACCAAATCACTAAAACATTGCTGGCAAGGCGATATCAGAAGGCTTCTATAAGCGAATCCGTGCATTATGACCACTTCAGCAAAACTGCTTCAATATGTTCTGAAGGCCCCTCAGCCCTTCGTTCCGAAATGAGCACGGAATGAACAAGACAAGAAAAGAACGCCAAATGAAGGGATTCCCGAGGTAATCGAAGGGATGCCGGTTTCCAGAGTGCTTATACGGTACGGTGCGGTACGGTAATGAAAGAATGAAGTGCTATACTGCTGCTGTCACTGCCGCCTCTGCAGGCCGCCAGCGAAGCATTGATTACCCACCCCTAATCGCAGCACGCTCGACAGCAAAACCTAAGCAGTACGACCTGTTGATGCGAAGGGTTGCCGTGTCGCCCTGTGGCCTGCTTGGGTAACTTGTCAGGCTGTCGTGAGTGACAGCTGTGGCCGGTCTGAGGTCGCATGTTAGACTGAGTAACAGCTTTGGACCAACAGCTTTGGACCTGTCTCGGGAGGCCCGTCATAATGGCTATTAGGTTCTAGCGTACTGATAGCTCTCGTCCTTTGGGATAGGCTTTCCAAGCCTTTATAAGTCTCTGTTGTTTATCGGTAACAGTACCTCAGATTCACACGTTTACGCCTAGGCAAAGGGGCTTTCGGTGGTAGGTCGCGGATCTCCCGAATACGTGTAACGGCTAATGTCTCCTTAGTCGTGTCTGCTAGGTCCCTGTGAGATAGCGTCTCACCAACAGGTTATGAGCCCCGGGTAACGGTTCCCGGCGGTTAATATCTGTAGTTGCTTTTAGCTTGAGCAGGGAGGCTCGCTAGGCAACCGACATGGGAAAAGGGTGTAAGACCGTCCTCTTAGCGGACGGGTCTAACTACTCACAGTGGCTAGGAGACTTCAGTGATTTCCTTGCTACATCCAAGCTGCGGAGCTATATGACCAACCCGTCGCCACCGGGACGCAATGCGCAAGACGCTCTGGAGGAAGATGCCCAGGCGCTTGGCTACCTGCGTCTATCCTGCGAACTGCCAGTAAAGCAGTTGCTCAGGAACTGTCAGACGACCCTCGCCGCCATGCAGCTCTTACAGCTGCAGTTCCGTTCTGCCTCTCAGGCCCGGCTAAGCCTGCTGGAGCCGCAGAAGCAACTGCGCATGGGCGACGACGAGACGACCGCTGACTTCATTCAGCGGGCGGAGCAGCTCCGCAGCGACATTATCTCGGCGGGCGGCCAGTGGGACGAGGCTGCTATGCGTCATGCAATTCTCCACGGTCTGCCTCCACAGTACGCTATTACTGTCGAGTTCGCGATGTATTTTTGCCCAACTTGACTACCCCGCAGCTCGTGTTTATGCTGCGGGAGAAGGAGAACAACCTGAAGGCTCAAGCAATCAAGTCCGGCCTGGTTGGAGCTGTTGGCCCTGGTCGCACCGCCCGTGGAGTCCGCGGTGCTGCCGGCGCCTCGGGCGCCGCGGGGGCCATCGACACCTGCCGCTACTGTGGACAGCCTGGGCACTACGTCCGTGAGTGCCCCGTTAAACTGGCGGACGTGTCCGTAGGCCTCTACCGCAGCAATGCGTTTGAACAGCCACGCAGTACTGGCGCCGGCAGCAGTGGCAGCGGCAACCGCCATCGTGATGGCGGCGGCGGAGGCACCAGCGGCGGCAATAACAGCGGGGGCGACAGGACGCGAGAACGCGGCCGTTTTAGACGCGGCAACGGCCGCCGCAGCGGCAGCGACACTGCTGGCGGAAGCAGTGGCGGCGGCGGCGGCGGTGTAAGCTCACGCCAGAACCGTGCCACGGTGCTGGTCGTCGGTGGCAGTGGCAACAGTTCAGCAGTAGTCCTAGACTCTGGTTCACCTTACCACCTTACAGTTGACCGCTCACTGTTGCACAGTTACGTTCCTGCCGGCTCGCCCAAGCAAATTAAGTGGGGGAACAACCAGCTAGCCGACGTCATGGGAACAGGGCAGCTACTCCTACGGACACGCGATGGAGAAACCGTCTTGCTACGCAACGTGCTCCATGTCCCCAGCTCGGGACTGACGCTCATGTCTGTCGACCTTCTCGTGACGCGCGGCTGCTCAGTCACGTTCGGCACGGACAAGGCGGGCCGCCGGTTCTCGCACGTAGGCCTGCCGCACGGCGGTTCGTCTATCACCGCGTGGAGCGAGCGTGGGCATTACGTCATGGACGTGGACCTGCTGGCGCCGACCAAACGCGCCGTCAGTGCGCTCGGCGCTGCGGAAGACAGAGCCGGCGGAGGTACCAGCGCTAGCAGATTTGCCGCCGGCGCCAGCAGCAGTGACGCCGGCGGGGACCAGCCAAACGGTGCCGGCAGCAGTGACACCGGCGGAGACCAGTCGAACGGCGCCAGCAACGGCCAAGGGCAGCTGGGCGCCCTTGAGTGCTCAGCCGCCGAACTCGCAGCAGCACAGCGCCTGCACCGCCAGTTCGGCCACCTTGGTTACCGGGCGTTGGAGCAGCTTATCACCAAGCAGCTGGTACATGGACCACGGGTCACTCCCGCGGCGCTGCATCAGGCGGCAGAGGGTGTCTGCGAAGCCTATGTCACAGCGAAGACTACAGCTACAGCTCACGTCAGCCGCGGTAACCGGCCTCAGCATGTCCTGGAGGTCGTACACTCTGACCTGTGCGGGCCCATGCCGACCACGGGCCGAGGAGGGGCTCGCTACTTGCTAACGCTGCTGGACGGTGCCTCCGGTCTGTCTGCCGTTCGCACACTGGTTAGCAAGAACCAAGTGGGCGAAGCGCTGCAGGACATGGTGACGCAGCTGGAGGCTCGCAACCCGAATGGTGCACGGGTCCGCACCCTTCATAGTGATAACGGTGGCGAGTTTGTCGCCGAGCAGCTGGCACAGTGGCTACGCCAGCGCGGCACTGCGCATACCCACTCGGCGCCGTACACTCCGGAGCAGAACGGTGCAGCGGAGCGGCTCAATCGCACGCTCCTCGACCGTGTGCGGGCTATGCTGTACGATGCCGCGCTCCCCGACAGCTTTTGGTCGGAAGCTGTGATATACGCCAACCTCCTGCGCAATGTTTCCCCCTCTCAGGGCCGGGAGGCTACGCCGTGGGCAACTTATCATGGCGTCACCCCCGACGTCAGTCACCTGCACACCTTCGGCTGCCTGGCATACGTCCGCGTCCCAACCAGCCAGCAGGTTAAGCTCGGTCCCCGCGCAGAGGCGGGAACCTACCTAGGACCAGAGCGCGGCACGGCCGCCCACCGCATCCTCGTCGACGGTAAGGTGACTGTTAGCAGCGACGTCACCTTCGACGACGACCTCCGCGGCCTGGCGTCTCAACGGGCGGGCACCTCCTTCGGCGCTGGCCCCGCCCGTCCTGGCAGCGGCGACCCCGTCGGCGGCTCTACACAGCCCGCCACACCGCCGCCTCCAGTGGTTGCATCGCCCCCAGTGAACCCAGCGCCCCCCCCCCGCCCCAACACACGCAGCCAACGGCAACCTCTTCACCCGCCGCTGGCCACGGTCTGCCCAGCCAACAACAGCAGCGGCGGCGGCGGAGATTTGGGCAGTCCACCGCTGCTTAACAAAGCGTCGGGAAGCACAAATTATGCTGAGGCAGGCGACGGCAATGCGGGCGGCGGAGGCAACAGCGCGGTGCAGGAGCCGCGCAGTTATGAGGAAGCGGTGGCGAGTCCGCAAGCGGACAAGTGGAGAACTTCGATGGATGACGAGATTCTGTCGCAGCTCTCCAACAAGACCTGGGAGTTGGGCACGCCGCCACCTGGTGCACGCATCCTGGACTGCCGCTGGGTCTACAAAATCAAACAGGAGCCAGGCGGTGAGGTTACAGCAACGGCGACCCGTCACAGGCGTGCCGGCTGTTAAAGTCTGTTTACGGCCTCAAGCAAGCCCCACGTTGCTGGTACGAGAAGCTGGCAGCGGAGCTGGGCAAGCTAGGCTATGAACCGTCTGCGTCCGACCCCGTGCTATTCGTCAAGAGGGGGTCCGATGGCTCAATCGATGTGCTCGTGCACGTTGATGACATGCTGGTGGCGGCGGACAACCCGCAGTTGGTTGCGGCCGCCAAGGCGGCCATAGCTGGTTGCTTCGCTGTACGAGACCTTGGAGAGGCGCGCTACTACCTCGGCATGGAGATCGTCCAGGACCGCCGCAACCGCAGCATCATGCTCACGCAGCAGCTGCTTCAGCGCCACAGCCTGGAGAACGCCAAGCCACGTGCCACCCCGCTACCCCAGGGTACGCGGGTTCTGCCAGCCAGTGACACCCAGCCGATATTGACGGACAGCAGTGGCTACCGCGCGCTGGTGGGAGAACTAAACTACCTCGCTACCAGCACACGCCCAGACATCGCACACGCTCTGAGCATGCTGGCGCGGCACATGTCCGCCCCCACCAAAGCGCACATGGGGCTCGCTCTGGGTGTGCTGCATTACGTCTCTGGCACTCGGGCGCTTGGTCTACGTTACTGTGGCGACGCCAGCAATTTCTGTGGGTACAGCGATGCAGACTGGGCCGGCGACCCAACCACCCGCCAGTCCACCACTGGCTACGCTTTCTTGCTCGGTGGCGCGGCGGTCAGCTGGAGCAGTCAGTTGCAGCGCACCGTAGCTGCCTCCTCCGTGGAAGCCGAATACCAGGCCGCAGCAGCAGCCGTGCGCGAGGCGTTGTGGCTGCGCAAGCTGGCGAGCGATCTGGACCTTTCCCCGGGTGCTGTCAACGTCCAGCTGGATTCGCAAGGCGCGCTCAGCCTCGGCAACAACCCCATCACGTCGGTGCGCTCCAAGCACATCGACGTGCACCATCACATCGTGCGCGAGAGGGTCGCGCGTGGTGAGGTGAAGCTCAGCCTTTGCACCACCGACGACATGGTGGCTGACATCCTAACCAAGGCACTGGGCGAGGTCAAGTTCGTGCGCTGCCGCACAGCGCTGGGCGTCACTTAGATCGCCAGAGGAGGAGTGCTGAGGGCTTCGAGGAATTGTTTTGAGCTAGGCTTTAGGGGGGTGCTGAGGGTGCGTGAGCAGGCGCCCGAATGGGCAGGTCAATGCCCGAAGGGGTGCCGTAGGCAGTGCGTATGGTGCTGTACGGCACTGTTTTCCCTGTTTGTGTTTGAACAGCAGCACCAGACCGCATAGCCATCAGGCTGAAGGCTGGCAAGCTGCGTTTGTGTTTGTTGAGTGGTGAGCAGTCGGCCTGGACCGCGGACTTGGTGGCCGAGCTAGCTCGTCGGTGCTAACAATTTGTAGTAAGGCCCCTAGTGCGACACGAGGGGGCGTGTTGATGCGAAGGGTTGCCGTGTCGCCCTGTGGCCTGCTTGGGTAACTTGTCAGGCTGTCGTGAGTGACAGCTGTGGCCGGTCTGAGGTCGCATGTTAGACTGAGTAACAGCTTTGGACCAACAGCTTTGGACCTGTCTCGGGAGGCCCGTCATAATGGCTATTAGGTTCTAGCGTACTGATAGCTCTCGTCCTTTGGGATAGGCTTTCCAAGCCTTTATAAGTCTCTGTTGTTTATCGGTAACAGTACCTCAGATTCACACGTTTACGCCTAGGCAAAGGGGCTTTCGGTGGTAGGTCGCGGATCTCCCGAATACGTGTAACGGCTAATGTCTCCTTAGTCGTGTCTGCTAGGTCCCTGTGAGATAGCGTCTCACCAACACGTCCAACCGCAGAGCGAGACCTGGGGCTCATGGCGCCCACGTAAGCGCGTCGGCCAGCCGGTGCAGCTCTAGATTCCCCGTCATCGCCCGGTGCCGTTGGTACATCACAGCCGCGCAGCCAGCCGGTTTAGATTCACGAAAACACGTCGTCGCGGCACACGTCCGAATCCATAAGATTCGTACAGTGCACGCCGCTCACACACAAAGGCACACAACGCAACAAAGCAATCACCGCCTGCTCTCTTTGTGGGTTGTTTTAGGGCAAGTCGTCTTTCCTAGAGCGCAATGTTTTGCTTTGCTTTGCTTCGCCGCTGTCACTGTCACTTCAGCTGCTGCCGCTGCCAGCCGCCAGCCAACACGATAGCACAAGAACGTCGAACATAGCACCGGAATATACATTAGGCGCATCGCAAGGTACGACGTACTGCACCGTACCGCATGGCACGGCACGATACGGCACCAGACGCAACGACCTGCACCAACACTACAGCAGCCGGTAGCTCCCCACTTAAAACGTTCGTCTGATCCTCTGGAGCAATCCCACCCACTCCGCGTGATTCAAACTCCTAAAAGCCCAGCCGCGTCACTTCATGTCATGCGCAGTTCGTCACCCAAGTAACCCTAGCCAGGGCCTCAGGGGATTAAAGAGAAGAGAGGAGCTAGGCAGTCAGGATGCGGTAACGTGCGCGAGAGGGATAGCTGCACGACTGTCGATGTGACAACCTGGGTGTGGTGCGACTCGCTGGTGCGACTGCAAGAATGTACGACTTGTATGTTGCGGCAGTCTTTCCTTGACTGCCGCATAGTAAGTCCCTTGCACATCCCTGGGTGGGTAGGTAGACAGGGCTGTGTTGTTTTATCACCTCCAAAGTTAGTGTGGCTGTGAAAACTACCGATGAGTGAACGAAGATTGGCTAAATGCCGCAGCAATCATGACGACTTGTACAGCAATCTGTACGACCCGGGAAGAGAGTTGTCGTCGCAAAGAATCATCAATTGGTGCAATCGTAACCCAATTGGGTCTAGGATAAGTAGATGGATAAGTAGGAGGCGTTTCGGAGACTGCCGGTGATTGGATCATCTCCGGTTCAGGTAAATCCATTTGTACGGGTAGGCGCCGACCCGGCGCGGATGTGGGGGTTTTCCTGAGGTACACGAGGCTCCTGCGGTACACTGCACATGGCGACAATCCCACTTCTGGAGGTGCGAAGTGGTGCAGGCGAATGTCGATCTATTGGCAGTGTGGGTGGGCCAGCCTAGTTTGGGGCGTAGTAGTTCAGACGCGCTACAACAACGTGCTGCAAAGACAGCAAAAGCTTTTTCTAATTTAATTATTATTCATAATTTTGTCAAAAAACAACCCCAGCGCCTCTATAGCTTAGTGGTAGAGCGTTCCCTTCGTACTTTCGAGTCAGGGAAAGGTCCTGAGTTCAATCCTCAGTGGGGGCATTTCCTATTTTAGCAAGGTAATATATCCTGCCATCTTTCAATATGTTGATACTCCTCTTCCTCTTCATAATTAATGACAACTGCAATGCCATCCCACGCGCGTCATCATACGACAATAATGCCCGACATCATTTCTGGTTGGGCCTCATTGCTTGGGCCAGTCGCTGAACTGCCACTGTACTGGCTCTACTTTCCCCCGGCCCCTTCCGTACCCCTGCCCCTCATACAACACGCCGCTACCGGCACCACTGCTGCGGCAATTGTCCGTAAGCAGCCTACATACCGCAGAACCCAAAAAGCCGTATCCTCTGGACGCGGCCCCATACAGAAAGCCCTCAACTCTGTTGTTAATAGCTTTTGTTTAGCACCCGAGACTCTTTGAATGTATGGATAATAATCGTTTGACCTAGCTTGAAGCCGCAAAGTAGAAGGGCTTTCAAGCCAGACATCAGCAAACGCTTCGGGCACTTTGGGTAGTACCGAAACTCCCGAAAAGAGAAATAGAGTTTCGAAATCGATCCGCCTGCAAAAATAGCATCAGCGGCCGACCATTAGCTCGTCTGCGGTCCGAAGGGCTGTCCGACGGCGGGAGCTGGCAGTCAATGATGACAGAAGTGGACCAGTTCCCGAAATCAGATATACGACCTTTGATGATGTCTGTTTGAAGGTACCGTAGAAGCAACCGACGAGGCACAACCGCTACCGGAATCGGACAGTTAGACGACTGCGAGCATATTTGTGAAGCTGCATGGTATCTTTTTCCCAGAGACGATGAAGTTAAGTTTGTTACAACGAGCAAGAGATTTTACAGCGAGAGCGAATTAGCTGAATGAACCATTTATATTGTTACTTACAAACAGTCACGTCTAGCGACGGCATGCTTTCCGTCGTCTAAGAGACAACAATTGCACAAGATAATGAATACAATATAATAGCCGTATCCTATTAGCACTTCGATAACCAAGTATAGGGATGCGAAGCGCCGCCGGCCGATGCTTTGGCCCTTTGCGCCCAGACCACCACCGGCTTCACAATAGCTCTTTAACCTTCTCAACAGATCGCGTGTTGAATCCCAGCTTCGTTAGCCAAAGCTTCGTGCCTCGGCATGTCGCCAGTCCAATTGACCGCCGCCCAAAGCTCCAAGTATCTGCGATGGGGCCGGAGCCGTACAGTGGGGTCGACCAAAGCCGCCGGAGAGTACGGAAGCCCGAGTGGGTTCGGTAAGTACTTAACAGTGCTGCTGGGCTGGCGGCATGTATGGGAGGACCCAGTATACCCGGCGGATGCCGTACAAAGGACGACAGCCCCCTTTCCCCCTTGGTTTGTGTGTGAACCGCACGCACGTCCAGGTAGTTAACCGTTTAACCGTTCTCACGTGTTTTGCCTCCCGCGAACGACTCGAACGATGCACAACCAAAGGCTTTCTTTCTCATCAAAAACTTGGGAACAACTTTAAGGTCGTTAAGTTGGTTGCTGTGAACCCCCGTGTGGCGGTTTCACGTTGAGTTGTGGCTTCTAGCAAAGCTGCACTGCATTTTACCTGACACGCAAAACCCACCTCAACACACACGCACACACACAAACCCATCAACCGCCCGCAGCTTCTCACCCACTCTTCCGTTGAGGGCCAAATGTGCAAAAACCCTTCGCGCAAACAGACGTACATACATACATACGTACGTACGTACATCATAAAGAATGGCACTGCATGTCCTCTTGCTCCATTTGGCCGTGTGTGTGCCGACGTCGGCCATGTTAATGAGTGTACCCTAACTTGCACGTCCGGCCCCACCCCGGTCGCCCCCACCCCGTCAGTGTGTTTCGCTGACACGGTCTCCCCTCTCACCCTCCCCGCTCCCCTGTAATTTGTCGGGACCGAGCATTTTCGAAATTTATAACAGGCAGTTGGATTGGTTCTTGGGTTCTAATCTTGGTGATTGCTTCGGGCACGGATACGGCGAGGCGCGATCGAACCCCCTTTGACCCTTTTTTTCCTTCTTCCTTTCCTTCTTTATCATCATACGATTCCCCCTATCCTGTAACCCCTCCGCATCAAGGCTCTCACTCTGCTGCAAAACCCTAAGACTTGCCACCGATGGCGTTCGTAATAATCATTTGTTGTACGGCAGGATCTTGGAAGAAGATGCGGATAACGACCCAGAGGTCGCTCGGCTGTTAGAGGGTACGGAAGGAGATCCAGATCGGATTCGGGAAAAGGTACGGCAATGGGATGAAGTATCGTCCGGCAGGACGTGAGGGACGCAGGTATGCACGGGAGTTCGTGACACACGGGTACGGCATAACCGCTTCTCATACACGAACCAACCACACGCCTACATGTTCCCACTTTCTTCCCCCCCACCGCCCCCCACCATCCCTCGACACAAACCCTCAGATGAAATTCGCGCTCAAGGAGACAGACATGCATAGGGAGCGACAGGGCTCCGAAGTGCCGCCCGTGTTGCGGTTCCGAGCCATAAGCCCCATGGGACTGTGGGTAAGTGTACGAGCATTTGTATGTACGACTCGTACTGCAAGTCTTCTCCTTCGCTTCACCTACAACAGCCACTCTTCCCTTCTCGTGGCTCGCCTTCTCCTGTAGCATACAAAGCATATAAAGATACAAGGTGGGGCGGCGAGAACCCAAATTAAAGCCTAAGTAGCCAAAACGCTGTTGCTGCTGCTGCTGTTGCTGCTGCTGCTGCTGCTGCTGTTGCTTATATGGTAATTTTGGGTCCTCCTTCTTCCTCTTCCTGCCCCACTGCCCCGCACAAGGCACGTCCTTCATGCTCGTCCCATCTTCTTGCCGTCCAGACATCCGGGCGAGGGGGGGATGTAGGCGGGGCTTCAAACATCCCCATCACATATTCCAGTTCCTCCGTCCCTGCGGCTACTGTAACGGCTGCTGCTTCCATTGCTTGTTGCCATTGATGCTACTGCATCAGCTGCTCTATTCGCTTGCTACTGCTACTACTGCTACTGCTGCTACTGCTACAGGTATGGTTGGAGTTCATTGAAGCCCCCCTCACTGGGGAGCGGGAGCTCCTGGAGGGCCTCATCAAGAGCTGGTTCGCGGTCGGGAAGTTAGGGGGGTACAACAGCCAGAACTTGCATGTGCCCAATGGGGGGAGGCCGGGGGGGGGGGAAACCGGAAGGAAGAGGCCTGAGGGGTTTCGGGGATTGGGGGGAAGGCGTTTGGCGGATTGGGGGGGAGGGATTTGGGGGATTAGGGGGAAGGGGTTTGGGAGATTGGGGGATTGGGGGTAAGGACACGGCCTGTCGGTGTTCGTGTCTCTCTCTTGGATTGGGCCGGCGGTGCGCGCACCGTTTGAGTATGTGACCGTTGCTCATGGGTTGGGACGAGCCATACATTGGCCATGAAAGGGGGGGCCGATTTGGAGGGTTTTTTAGGGGTTTACGAGAAATGGGAGACGACTTTTGGGGGGCCTTTTCATTTGGGGCCTTATGGGCCCCATCATTCATCACATATATATCCTCCTGACCACGCCTTCATCGCTTTTTTTTCCTCTCCAAATTTCCAAAACACAAACTTGTGTAGTTGTACCACAATGCCGATGACGATCAGTCGTTCTTCGAGTACGACAATGACGAGCTGGCGGCCGGAGAGGCCCGTATGGCCTCGTACATTCACGACATCGGTGACGTGGAGTACCAGGACAATTGGGCTCGAGTTTGGTGAGGGCGCGTCGTGTGTGTTTTGTGTTTCGCGTATGTATGTATGTATGTATATATATGTATGTATGTATGTATGTACGTAAGTATGTATGATGTACATGTGTGTTTTGGAAATAGAAGCGCTGGTGCTGCCTTTACACCTTCCCCTCAACCCCAAACCTCCGACAGTTGCACTGCTGCATGTTCCTCCTGCCAACACAGATATACATACATACACACATGAATACGTACGCACTCACAGGATTATGGAGGCTTCCAAACCCAACAAAGCCTTCCCCCCCCCACACACACACCCTACCTCCAACCTCCAACCTCCATTGAAGGGACACACACACACAAAGGGGGCTCCACTGTCCCCTTAAATCGGACCGGAACACTTTCTCACCCTACTCCCTAACCCACCCCCCACCTTCCCCCCAAGAAAACGCTTTCAACCCCGCTGTCGTAAAACATTTATACTTGAAAACAACCTTAAGAGAAATAACCTTAAAAAACCTCCAACCTCAGGATCGATATGGGCACCGCTGACGAGTTATCTTTGGACGTGTTGATCAACATGTTGGTTGGCTTCAGCGCGGAGATGTGCGGGTTGAAGAGCGTGCTGCTGGGGGGCGAGAACGAGGACTGGCCGGTACCAGAGGAAGACCGGGAGTTCGGTCCGGACGCGGACTACATGAAGGTGAGGGGGATTTTTGAGGGTGTATGGATGTATGGATGGATGGATGGATGGATGGATGGATGGATGGATGGATGGATGGATGGATGGATGGATGGATGTGGATGTGGATGCGGATGTGGATGTTGTCTCCTTTGCATTGCTCTGCCACTTTCCTTCGTTGCGGCACCGAGGGGCCGCCTCCCGCCAGGGGGGCAAAAGCCCTTTCCCCGGCAACCGGCAACCGGAGTTAAGTAACACCACCAAAAAACCCTGCCATCCTCAACATCAACCCCCTTTCAAACCCCCCAAATCCCCTTCCCCCCCCCGATCCCCCGCCCCCCCCCCCTCCAGGTGGGAATGGACCCAATGCGGCTTCCCGAGGGCCTGGATGAGGAGTTCCAGTTTATGGACGACGAGGGAATGCTCGAGGGAGGGAAGGGAATACGCAACAGAACCAGCAGTAGCACCAGTAGTACAAGCGGTGACGGAGATGCGTACGGCAGTAGCGGGTACGGCATCCGCGCTGGGCCGTACAGCTCCCGGGCCGAAGAGCAGGAGCTGCAACAGCTTGCGGAACGATTAAAAAGGCGGCGACCTGGCGGCGGCGAGGGGGGCTACTACGGAGGAAGTGCCGGTGCTGCGGATTTGGATTTAGATCTGGATTTTAATCCTGATGAGCTGGAATTTACGGATGGGGACGATGGCGGGGATGATGATGAGGAGGAGGGGGGTTCCACCGCAGCACGGGGGCCGCAAGACCGGGGGGGTAACAGGCCTTGGGGTGCAAGTTTTGTACGGCGAGTGCGGAGGGGTCCTGGTAGCAGTGGCAGTAGCTAGCAGTAGCAGTAGCAGAGGGGGTGTCAGAACCTCCGTCACGTATTTGATGTATAGATACAGGCCCCAGCCCAGTAATGCTGTTGCTGCGCTGGTTAGCGGGCACACCAGCTCACCTCGAACGGGAATGTCGACACCACTGCCTTACAGCACTCTTTCCCCTGGAGTGTGTGGAGGGGGCGGAGCATGTGCAGTAACTTTCCAATCTTCTTCTTCTAGGCGCAAAACTGTTGTCAACGTGTGTGTGTGTGTGTGTTTGAGAGGCGGTTTTTACTCTGTACAGCAGGAGGCGTATTGGTGAGGTCAACAGCTCGTAAGCTACACTCCACTCTGAAGCCACCCACTAAGAATGTTCGTGTGTGGTGTGTGTATGTGTGGAGGGTGGGGTGGGGGGAAAAGGGGGAAACCACCGGTCAACAGGTTGTAGATTTGATAAGATTGAAATGAAGGGCATATTGGCGTACTGGTTGCTAGCCTGCGGCGGGCGGGAAGCCGGAGGCAGCCGTCAGACAAACACACACACAAGCATATCACCACCAGTGAAACTCCTATCCTGACGCACCAAAAGAGGGGGGAGGGGGAGAACGAGAAATAACCTGGCGGCACAATGTCTGCCGCCAAGCCCCCCCCCCCATACTCTCCTGCTCCCTGCCTCCATAGTCGCCTCTTCCCATCCCGCGCTACCCCTCTCTCCACAGCCATACACACCCATAGATCCGTCTGCACCCGTCGGACCACTGCAGAATACGACAGAAGTTATGTCACATACGACAATACCAATGAACGGCGATTCAGCAAATCCACCTTATCGCGCCCAAACGGCATTCCTACATAAACAACTACATTCTATCTTACAAAGGGAAGGCGGAGTTGGCATCCCTAGGTGTGCTGAGTGCAGATGTACGTGTACCAGCAGTAGTAGATGTGGCATGTTTCATTCACACAAACACAATATGCGGGTTGGTAGGAAACAATAAAAAGCGGGACGAAAGTTACCGCTCCGAAACCGGCACTGCGCGTCCACCCTCCGCTCCCTCCATGTAACACACACTACAAAACACACACGACGTGTAGCCTAGGACCCAACCACCCCGTTATCGGAGGGGGGCCAAATTGGGGGCCAATTCCCTTCCAACCCGGACATCTCTCCATCTCTAAACCCCCCCAACAGGTAACCGTAACCCAACCATCTCATCATTGAATGGGAAAAGGATAGGATCCCGCGCCACCGCCTTTATCATCGCCTTTAGGTCACCTCGCCTTCAGGTCAGCAACTGAGCAGCTGACGCAGCGGCGACTTGGGCGACTGCAGGACGCCGGAGAGCGAGCGCGAGGACCGCCCGTCAGTCTGCACCACCACCACCACCTCTGGGCCCACGTAATACCTGGCCCAGGGGCCGTAAGCGGGGTCCCAAAGCGACCAACGGGGCGGTAAACTTCCCCTTTCACATCCACTCCCCCCCCCCCACACACACACATAATCACACACACACACACACGTGCCGAACTAATCTACGAAAACTAAAACGATCTAATAATATACACATGACAGCTAATTTTTTTCAAAAATCGCGCACCGCACCCAACATAACCCGCACGACCTTTTCCCTTCTGCCAATAACAATAACAACAACAATACACACACACACATACATCTTTTCCGATATCTTTACAACAATGGCAATCCCCCACCCCACCGCACCCCACCGCGAACCAAAAACAGCGACGACACCGCACTGATCGATATCGACACCCAGGAAAGGTCAAAAGCAAAAGCACGGGAGGTGCTGTTGTTCTAGGGGGAAACAACGACTGTGGCGAAATGGCAGACTGCCACACTTCCTCCTAAAAACAAAAACCGATGCGGAGCCCCCCTACACACACAACCCAGGCCGAACTCAAGGGGACTTTCGAGGAGTCGTTGCCAGGGCGCAGAGATATCCATAAAACCCAACCACCCTAACGGATGGTTTGTCCGTACGTACGTTCGTACAGGCCACCAATTTTCCTAAATAAATATACACAAGCCCTGACAGACAGAGCACTACGAAGGGACCCAAGGGACCCTATCTTCGACAGCATGGGGGCGCCCTGGGGCACATCATCAACACCAATCAACATCAACACCAACATGGCGCCAACAACACCAGCATATATAGCATTTTACAACCACCACAGCGCTACCGCTTTTTCGCCGATTCTAAGAAAATACTGTACAACACTGCCGGGGCCCCATTTCACTTCATCATCATCTTCTTCTTCACAAAAATAACTGAGAACGGAAATCACCGGAAATAGTAATATATTTATTTCCTTTCCACCAGATGATGCCTACGTACGGAAATCGTACAATTGTAGTACAACACACCCAGCTGACCGCATCTCTCTCATCAGCTAGGTGGACCGTATGTATGTTTGTATGTATTGTGGTAGAGACATGCACACGCACATACATGATACATACATACATGCAGGACCCAAGCCGCGAAGGCACAACCCAGGCCACCTTCGACTCGGCCTAGCCCTAGCCATGCATGCAAACTGTGCAAAGATACATACACACATACGTACATACATACATACACACGCACAACGTTAAAGAGAGGTCAATACCCCCATCATTCTACCAACCCCCTAGACACACACGTAAAACCGACCATCCTGCCACCACTACCACCACAACCCGTGCAGCATCTGGTATTGATAATGATGACCAAGGGATGCGAATCTTCTGATGCCATAGAGTGGTGCCATTGCGTACTCTGATGAAATCGTGTATGTGTTTGCATTACCCCCGGACCCCCTCGGCCATCCACCCCCTAACCCCCAAAAAAAAGAAATCCTCGCGCTACGTAAACCACCAAACAAAACCGGTATCACAAACTCCCGCCAACCATGCTGCAGACTTCAAATGTCATCTTCTTCCCAACTTGTCCTTCCCGACTTTCCAAAAAAATCAATGTGCCAAAGTACAAGACATACAGACGTACCGACGCGGCGCTACCGGGATGCGGACTGCGGGAACCCCCTTACTCAAAAACACGCAAAGGAAAGCCCGGCTATGCACATACTTCTTCCCCCCAAAGAGACATACGTACATACATACATACACACACAACTTCCCCTTCCCCAAACCCCCCACTCCTCCCCTCACTCCTCCCCCTCCCGCTTCTGTTGCTGTGCCGCCCGCCTCTGGGCCGCGCAGCTGCTCTCCACCGCCTCCACCAGCCGGGGGTCATCCACCACCTTGATAAAGTCGATGGACCAACACCCCGCTCCGGAACCAGACGTCTCCTGGCTTAGGATGTAACAAAACACAAACCGGGCTGTACGGCGGATTACCCGGGTCGGGGTCGAGGGAAGGGTGGATGCAAAAAGGGAAGGGAAGGGAGGAGGGAAACACTCGGCGATTCCAAAATTCGTGATAAACGCCGACGACGGGGACATTGCTACACAGAAGAAAAACTACACGCCATTAAGCCCTCCCCGCTCCCGCCCCCCCCCCGCGGCTCACTCCACTACACCACGGCTGCCATCATGATGTCAGGTCTCTCTCATATAATGAATTCAGTCACCCCCCCCCCGGACGGAAGCCCAACAGTCCGCCCCGGCCCCCTTTACATCCCTTACTCCCCCCCCACACACCCACTTCCGCTTGCTGAGGTCACCGACACGATCTCCAAAAAGGTGGTGGGTCGGGCCATGCAGCGCCGTACACTGGTGGCCACGATATGGCCCTGATCGGCGGGAGGGTCCAGGAGGGGGTGCGGCAGCAAGGCGGGCGGGAAGGCGAAGAAGGGACAAGGTTGTTAGGTGAAAAGTGATAATAAGAAATTGCAAGATTTCATGTTAATCAACATTGTGATAAAAAAAGCCATCATCTGAACGCCACCATACACACTTCACACACACACACATACATACATACACCGCCACACACACACACACGCACGCACATCACCATCAAGCACCGCAGTGTACGATCCCATCAAAATCCCCATTCCCCTCCCACCCCAACCGAAACGCACTCGATTGACACACCACACCTACGGCATTTCCCCCCCAACGCCGCACGCACTGACCCACCACTGACCCACCACGGAACCCCTACTTCCATCCGTACACACACACATACATGCGGACACCCTTCCCCCCCACCAGGGCCCCCTCCCCTTCCCCCCGTCTCACCAGCAGTCCGCCGTACCGCCTGTGTTTCGCCACGTTCTCCGCGAACTTGTGCACATCCCCGATGATCTTCCGGCTGCCCGCACTGAGGAACTGAAAGGCGGCGGGAACATCCTTGCGCCTGAAGGAGGGGCACAGGACAGCAAGAATCCACCACACAGACGGGGGGGGAGAGAGTGAAGAGAGGAGAGAGAAGTGTGTGTGGGGGGGGGAAGACGAACCACACACGATTGGGGGGGGGGGGGAAAGGGGCAAGAGGTGAGGAAGCACTGTGGTGGGGTGAGGAGACGACGACGGAGGGGGAGATGGAGCGTACGTCGGATGTAGTGGTCCGGCATTTGGGGGATTGCCACTGCCACTGCCACACAGACCTCTCCCTTCCGACATCAAAAGCACAACAATAGCCGCCCAGGCGACCCACCCAACCATCCAACCTCCCCCAGCGATGCACCGCGTCGCGTCCCTGTTTGCTGGATGGATGGATGGATGGATGGATGGATGTACACGGCCCACGTCGCCCTCCCCCCTTCTGGCCCCCAACCTGGCCAACACATTGAGACTTAAAAAAGAGTCCCCAGCACCGGCCCCAGGTTCCGTCCCTCCCCCCCACCATGGCAAGTACCCTAAACCCACCATTCCCCCCCCCGGTATCACACACGACACGAACCACGTCACCAGCATCACTACTACCACCACCGCCACGGCACTCACAGCCTCCCGCCCTTCACACACACTCACTGCAATGCCGCCAAGTGCGCCTCCACAATCTGCTCAGGGGACAGCTCAGGACTGGGAGCCGTAGGCTGTACGACACCGATGCCGTACTGCGGCTCACCACGGACGCTCCTGAGCCGCCAGACCGGCGGCTCCGAAACCACCGCTCCTGGGTCACCCTCCTGGCTTCCCCCGCCAGCGGCTGCGGGAGTTAGAGACGTCAGGTCGGCCACATCCTTACCGGCCCCCTGCTCCACCGTCGTATGTATGTCTGTCGAGGAGGAGGTGGATGGTGAAACCGCTGTGGGGGTTGCGGCGGTTGTCTTGTCCGTTGAGCGGTTGCCTCCGGGCGATGTGGGTTGTTTGGCGGTTGTGTCGGCGGTCATCGTGAAGGTCAGGATGCAGCTCTCGCCCATTTGAGAGGTGACTGCCATTCGTTGGATGTACTTGTTGGGACCCAGCATAAGGCCCGACAGGAGCTGCGGGAGGGCGGGGGGTGAGGGCGAGGAAAAGGAAAAAAGATGATGCGATCAGCCACAAAAAGAGGAGGCAGGGAAAACGATAGTAGTAGTAGTAGTAGTAGTAGTTGGTTTGGGTTGGGCATTCTAATTTATTGAACAGGATTATTACGATTATTACATTATGTGTATCATGGAAATATATTTATCCATATCTACATTGCAGGAGCCCAAGACAAGATACAGCTGCCAACCGAGAGGCAGAGAAGTAAGAGGAGTATAAGGCTGGAAGAGGTCCAGGTGGGGGAGGAGGCTGATGTGGGTTACGGACGTGGGTCGCACACAGGAGAGACGCTTCCGACTTGTTGAATGGATTTGGCAGCGGTTGGGAGGATGATCGGCGACGGATTAGAGGGACGTAGCAAGTGAGTGAGGAACGGAAGGGCAGGCGCGGATTGCAGGAGAAGGGACCCAGTTTGGTGTGCGGCACGCGCTATGTATTCCTCAAGGTGTCGCGGGGGCGGAAGGGAGAGTAGTAGTTTGTAGTGGAGGCATAAGACAGAAGCTGCTGGGCGGGGGTGTATGCGCTGATGCTAGGCGTGTTTCAAAGCGGCGAGAGCAGTGAGCCATGTGTCTCGCCCGCCACGAAAGAGTGATAGCGGAACATGAGAATACATGATGATAAAAGCGAAGAGGGGAGAATGACAGCCAGATGCCCGGTCTGCGTACGTCGGTTTCGCAACGCGGTGATACGCTATAAGGGGATCAAATGTCAATCCTGCGCCGGATATCTCGCCGGGAGTAACTGCACCTGAGTTGAGGCAGGCGAAGAGAGGATGAGATGCCTGATGGCGTAGCTGTCGAGGAAGTGCTGGCTCGGGGAGCGCAGCAGCATGCCCTCCATGACGTCCTCAAACACCATCACCTCTCCTCCGCTGCATGTCGTTGAATGGCGAGCCAGTGCAGCAGCAGCCGTAAGAGGAAATAAGTTCATGCCTTAGCATGAAAGAGACTGCTATGCATGGGTACCTCAGCTCCGCAGCCGAATGGCCAAGCCCGGCCGCGCGACGAACGGTTCAAGTTCAAAAAACCTGTGTCACATTCTATCTCACACAAATTTCGCACACACCTCGCTAATTTCAGAGATGGTGTGTCGGTAAGGTTGGATGTAGCAAAATAGTCCACCAGAGCGTCGCGTTCCCCGCGCTGGACAAGCTCAAGCACCCGTTGTAGCGACTGTTGGGCCGCCTTTGCTCGGCCCGGTTCCCTTGGGCCTGGATTGTGGTAAAGAGCAAGTGGAACAACTGGAAGACGCCGCACAAGCCTAGGCGCCGAGGGCGCAAATTTCTGACGGCTGCAAAGACCTAGTTGACCACCGCAACGCTCAGAAACAAGGAACCGCATTCTTGCACGGGTTCTGGAAATGGAAGGAGCCTGCATAGTGTCGGAGGTGTACCGGAAAGAAGGCTGAGGCGCAATCCCTGTGGAAAGTAGTAGAAACGAGGAATGCAAGAAGCAAGCCGCAGCTGCTAAGCTCAGGCTTTAAGCATCGCCGAGATAGGTTTACAAATTCTGCAGCCGCTCATTTCAAGGGCGTGACGCAATTCCACGAACGACCGTGCGACTTCGAATTATGCACGACTGCTCGTCCACCTAGAGAGTTTTCACTGAACCGAAACACCTGACTTGTTATCTTTCAGTTTAAATTACAACAATGTCCTGTCACTGCCAATCATTAATACCCCAACCGCCAAACCGAAGAGTCCCCCTTTCGTCAGCTCATCAGTCATCCTCTGCAACCAGGGCTCTCACCGGGTTGAGCATCCTTGGCAGTTTATTCGCTAGCTCCTGCTGTGTCATTCAACTTCTGCTGAATTCACTCCAGCTCGGCTGTGCTGGCTTTGCCGTCCTCAACCCATGGAAGAATCACTTCAGAGCCCTCACCGTCCTTGCGCTGGCCCACCTCCTGTACCGAGACGGATTTAACCGAAAAAGCCTTCTGACCATCGCGCTCACGACTGCCCTCATGTTCAGCCAGGACGCGGTGCGGTTCCATAATCTCCACACAAGCCGGCTACACCCTCCACCACCAGCACCAGCAAATGCAGCAGCAGCAGCAGAGCCGGCCGGGCATCACGTCTCTGCGAGCACCAACTCGAGCGCAAATAGCTCAAAGCACAACCGCCGCACGGACGAAACCCAGGCAACCGCCACGAATGGCACTGTCGCAGCCACTACCGCTGCAACGGTACACTCCAGGGAAGTCACTTTGATACCTCTGAATTCAAACCTGCTCAGCAGCAGCAGCAATAACAGTTACAGCAGCAAAGACAACAGCAGGAATGCACCAGCTGACGTTTCCGCTTCCATTCCCCCCTCCCCTCTCCACGATACGCTCACCAACCCTGACCAAGACGGCGTACGACACAGTACGGCAAGTCAACCCACCACAGCGCCCACCATCATCACTGGAGCAACGAATGAAGATGAAACAGGAAACGCCATAACAACAACAAACGCGCTAACAACAGAAGCTTATGAAAAAACAACACCAACAGTAGCAACCAAAACCCAACCTCCACCGTCGCCCACGGGGGGTTCTGTATACCTCCGTTTCCAGGTCACCGGCATCAAGTGCGAGGGCTGTGCCGCGCGCCTCAAGCTGGCCTTGATGCGGTTGCCCGGGGTAGAGCGGTGCGCTGTGGACTACGCAAGCGGCCAGGTGCTTGTATGGGGAGCACGGGGAGACAGGGAGTTGACGGAGGGGGAGGTGCGTGGCGCGATCCAGTTCGTGGATCTGTCGTACAGAGCCGTACTGGTGGAGAGCATGCGAGGAAAGGAAAGGGGGGAAGGGGGAGGACTCCGGGGCCAATGACCGGGGGGTACTCAGTGTGCATGTGTGGGCGTTAGGTGGGTAGGTGGATGGATGGATGGATGGATGGGTGGATGGATGGATGGATGGATGGGTGGATGGATGGATGGCGTGTGTTCTTGAAGAATAAGAAGGAATCGAGGTGCTTGTGGAGGTTTGTATAAGAGAGAGTGTGCGTGTGTGGAGGTGTGGCTGTGGGACAGACGGTGAGGGGGGCAGATGGTGGTAGGCACAGGTGAAGTAGCAGGATGCACTTGCTGGTTGGCTGGCTGGCTGACAGGGTGTTTTCCGGTGCCAGTCGCCGTGCGACTAAGATGGCTGATCCTGGCAATCATGCAAGAACGGCGGGCAGGAGCAGAAAGGTGCATAAGAAACAAGAGGCGGCATGTGTGTATTGGCGTGGTGGTGAAAGCAGCGAGGAGAGGAGGGGAAGGGAGGGGAGGCAGGCTGAAGAATACGACAACTGTCAAAACAGTTGAGTCAAAGTAGTCGACGTTGAACGGACTAGTGGTGGAGGCACAACCGCACAAACCGCAATGGCCACCCTTTGCTGGAGGAGGAGGAGGAGGAGGAGAGGTCTTTGTGAAGGGGAAGTCGCTCCTCGGCACATGTAGAGATATCAACGATGCCCTTAACTGCACTACATGACTTAGATCACACTATATATATGTACTATATGTATGTACGCATGTAATGTATGTATGTATGTATGTATATTTGTTCAATGTTAAGGATACATTCTGGTCCGACGAAGCTGCCGCAAAGCAGCAAAGCGACTGCGCTTTTTTTCTTCCTCCTTAAATGCACCCCCCACAGCTTTGGTGCTGGTGCTTTTAGACGTTTAAAAACAGTCAGTCCGTCAGTCTAGGGTTCACAGCAGCAGTCGGCGACGTTTAATACCGGAGGGAGGGGGGCCGTGGGGATAGGTAGCTCAACGCTGAGGACCGTACAGATACACACACTAACACATACATACATGCGTACTTTGCAGAAACATTATGCCTTTTTGGATTGGTGTAGGATTGGTGATGTGTACGGAGTACGAAATTAGAAACTATGTTTTGATTTTTTTACATTGGGAAGGGCACTAGGGCTTCAAAATTGATTGATTGGGCTGGACATTGAGGTTCACACGATGCGGGGGGGGGTGATGTTGTGGTGCTCTGCAAATCCCCATCCGCTCTCCAATCACATCCCTCTATATGTGTTTGAGACATCCATTACCCCCCCCCCCAGCTGATGTGGGCCGAGAGGTCTCACTCCCTGAGGGGATCCCCCCTGAGTTATAGCGGCAAGTTAGGGTCCCTATCGGCGACAGCAACCGACGTCGACGGCAACGGGCGTTACAAACTCAGTGCAACGCCCGTTGTTTGTCCGTCAGTCGTCTGTCCTGCATCATCATCATCATTATCATCATCATCATCATCATGGCTTTCTTGCATCGAAAAAAAACAGAAGCTGACCAGGAGAGGTCTTTTGACTCTCACACGCTCGCAAACGGCTTATGTGTGTGCGCATGCACGCGAACAGCTGAACAAGGTGATGGTAGTGGTGGTGTATAGCTAAACACCTTTTTCAAGGTAATAGTAATAATGGTAATAATAGCCACGTGCGCAACCCCACGGCACATAGCACAATAACAATCTCAGTGACCAGCAAGTACAATATAACAATCTCAGCCAGTGGCCAGCACGACCGATACATGTAACCGGAAAAAAGCTCAAAACGAATAAATAATAAATGAGGAGGAGGGGGACGCGTCGTACAGAAGGGTGGATCCGAACGGCAGTGCTGCCCTCTGCACCCACCATCCACCACTACCAAACAGCAGCTACAAGGACTATCGGAGAGCTCCAAAAAGGCCGCAGTAGCGCTGCACCCCGGGATTGGACAACACTCGACATCCGGACAGCAAAACATCCGGACAGCACCAAAACAGCAGCAGAGACGCTCTCCCCGCCCAGGTCCCGCAGCCCTTTTTCCATGTTGCGACACATTAACGCAAACCCACCCCACCCCACCAGGGGTGCAACTGAGGGACAAATAGCACCATATGTAGCGCTCTATCTGAGTCTGAGTCGGCGCCAACACACGCACGCACGCCGCTGTTGGCCCCAATCAAGCTGTCCGTATGTTTGTCTGTGTGTGTGTTTCACTTTTGGTAATCAGTTTGTTCGCTTGTTTTGTTTGTTTGTCTGTCAGTCTGTTTGTGTGTCCGTTGGTCCGAGACACGTAGCCATCTCACGTCAGCCACGTCAGTCGATCCTCCCCCTCCCCCTCCCCCTCCCCCTCCCCCTTCCCCTCCGACTCCCCCTCCTCCTCCTGTTCTTTCAATCCACAGCGGTGGCAACGGTGGCAGCGCGCACTCTGGCAGGTAGGTAGACAAAGCGAGGGCAGGGCTTAACACGTATATGATGGTTAGGGGGGTTTGAAGGGGTTTGAAGGGGTTCGAAGGGGTCGAGGACGGAGTAGGCCCCCTCTCCCTACCTCCCCACTAAGATAAGGCCTCTATCCTTATGAACAACCGCACAGCCACCCCACACCGCGCCGCAGCATCACGGATGCTGTTGCTACGGTGACATTTGAATTGCTGAGTGACAAAAAGCGAACCAGTCGGAGAGCCCAGGTGCGTCAGATGCAGCCTTTCGTAACACATGTACATGGATCGATAAAGACCGTATAAAAAAAAGAAAACCGCGCTCATTAACCATCAAGGGCTCCGAAACTGTTCGCAGTTGTGTTCCATATGTTCCATGAAGATGTCGGCGAGAGGCGCTGTAGTGGCAGTGGTGGTGGCAATCGCGTTCGACCCTAAGACGATGAGATGAGACTAATCAGTTAGGTTGCTGCGGGGCCTGCGACGGCCAAAGCCGTGTGAGCAAACATGCCGGTATGTATGTATATATGTATGTATTTATGTATGTATGTATGTCGGGTTGTTGCATAACAGGGCAAAGGAACAACCACATCCACCATTCTTCCGACCCGATCCATCCCGTTTACAACGACCAACTAACGGAGCTATAACCGAACAACTGGCAACTGATAATAAGCTGTCGTCGTACATATAGCAACGAATAGGTTCACCATAACATCACACACCCTCCCTCCCTCCCTCCCTCATCCGCCCAACCTCATCCTCTCTCAACTCTTTCTCTCTCCCTCTCCCTCTCACTCTCCCCCTCGAGGATTAACCCCAACCGCGGCCTTTCCAGTCTTTGTGGGCCCCCGACCTAACTACCCTCAAACCGAACCTCGATTAGGTATCGCTAGCTGATACGAGTTTCTCAGTTAAGAGTTATTCATGGAGTTCATTAAAGCAGTTTACATCGTCTGAGACCTCACCCCCTCCCACCTTCCCAGCCTCTCCACCAGCTAACGGATTGCCTCAGCCCACCCAGCTGAACAGA